CTATGAAACTGTAGCACACAGTTGCAGGCAACAACACCATTGGGCCATCTTAACCATGCACTATTACTGTCCAAGACAGGCCAGTTTGTACTCTATAGCAACAGCAGCAGCCAGGCATGTAGCCAGGAGGGAGGGGCTTGAGGGGCTTCAGACCCCCCCCCCCCCCGAAATTCTCAGAGTGGTCTGCGAGAAGGCCTTACTGGTACATTATTTAAGCTGTTATGTTTATTCATATCATGATCTGATCACCATGCTCAATATATCCCATATGCATGGGGGTATTGGGATAACGATACCAAAGGTTTGCTAGGGTAGATCCTCAGGCCCTCCCGAATCAAAGTCATCCCCCCCCCCAAAATCAAACTCAGCACCACCCCCACCCCCCCACCCCCCCGAATCAAAATCCTGGCTACAGGCTTCCAGCAGCTCTTCTGCTGGAGGGGTCAGCTTCCTCCTAGCAGAAGCTAGGCTTGTGTAAATGCAACTGGATGAAGGGAGCCAAACAGACCTCCAAACTGGAGCTGAACATGCACCAGAAGTTATACCTTAGAGGTTGACTAGATTGTTTTGTGAGGTACAAAAATAGCAAACTCCAACTGTAGTGATCCTTCCTGGCTCCCTGAATCCCACAAGTTATGCCATTTCTATAGCCTAAATTAGGAGTCTGGTGGAGGTTCCACTAATGCTACTGCTTCCAAGACGGGCAGGGCAAGAAATGTTGGTAGAGATTCCTCACTTAGCATTGGTGGCCACTAAGCCTGACACTGGCCCTTTTCAAGGGATTTTTTTGCATGTCAGAAGTGACTTGAGAAACTGCAAGTTGCTTCTAATATGAGAGAATTGGCCGTCTGCAAGGATGTTGCCCAGGGGACACCAGGATGTTTTACCATCCTGTGGGAGGCTTCCCTCATGTCCCTGCATGGGAAGCTGGAGCTGATAAGTGGGAGCTCACCCTATCTCGTAGATTCGAACCTACGACCTTCAGGTCAGCTGTTCAGCCGGCACAAGGATTTAACCCATTGTGCCTCCGTGGCTGCTTTTTCAAGGGATGTTGTCAAAAGATTTGGATAACCTAAGTACACAGTGTCTGGCACATTAACTCTTTCCTACTTTCTCTGAAGATATAGGTGTACTAGTTGATACCACGTTTATTAGATAATGAAAAAATAGTCAGCCATGTTTTATGCTACAGGGAAATTTAAAGGATTCCTGTGCTGGCCAAGATCACATACTCTCCACAACAGGAGATTTCTCAGCAATAACCACATTATTAGCTCGATGGTTAATACATGCCTGCTTTGCCTATAAACAAACAGCTACATCCAGAGGCAACTGAGTCTAAAGATCACAGAAAAAGTTTGGCAGGAGATTAAACTGCATGTTATTTCTCACTGAATTGGGGCACTTATTTATTTCATATGTTCCAGTGTTCGTATGGAAAATGACAATATACTCTTAGGTAATATTTGGTCATCCTGATTTTTGTGGAAGAGTATTTCATAGGATTTATGCTGTATTCGCTAATGTACGCTAAGAATTATTGTATATTTTCTGATAATATGTTAAGATGCATGATTTTCTTGTGGTGAATTGGATATATCATGGTGTAGGGGTATCAAACTCATTTTAATCTAGGTCTACATTAAGTTTATGGTTGTCTTCAGAGGGCCATTGAATCCATGGTTGGAGAATCTGTGGATATAGTGGGCCAATTTTTTTTTTACATAGTTGTATGTGCTTTTAAATTTTTACCCAATTTAGGTCCCAAATGTTGTTGAACAACAATGCCCATCACTTTTTATTATCTGCCATGTGGATGGGGATAATGGAAATTACAACTCAAAAGCATTTGTGGCTCTGAAGTTGGTGAAAGGTTCAGGACATATTAAAGCCAGACATCCTATCCACAGCCCTTGTATCCGAATTCAAACTCCTCTGTTCTGACTAACTAGAAAAAACTGTAGCCTTCCAGATGTGACTGTTTCATAGCTCCCATTACTCAGATCATGATGTCTAATGGTGAGGAGTACAGGATTTATAGTCCAGCATCTCGTGGACTACATAAAATGACATGGTGGGCAGATTCAGCCTGCTTGCCTTGCATTTGACACGTGTCACAATGTAATTCCTGTTCTGTTACTTTTTATATATATAATCAGTTCAATCAACTTATTTTTTAAATCATCAGCCCTGTTATCTTACAAAAGGAAGTAGCCCAAGATATATATATTTTTTAAAAATCAGCCAAAGTATCTTTACAGAAGCAAGCAATTGTACATATTAGCGATTTATTGTGCAAAAATAAACCCAAAAACCTCACAGCAATCAATTGTGCAAAAAGCTTGAAGGTTTGTGGCATATACTGTGTTATGATACTCACATGAAACCTGTTTTAACTTTCTCTACAAAAGCAATGGCATATGATGTGCCAGGAGATCTTTACATATCAAGTAAATATTAAAAATGTCTTTAGAGGCGTGAGAAGATACTTTCCTTCTGATGACTAGCAATTTCAGTGAAGGACCCAAAGACATTTTTGTACTTGCTGTTAAAAGTGTCATGCAGACATTCATGTGTGCATTGTTATCTGAATGTTGCTAGGTAAGAGAAAAAAGTAAAGTGTGTGTTCATTTTACTCAAATGTGTTCAAATGGTATTATTAATATACACATTCTATAATTTTGTTTGATGTTATTTGAGAAATGACTAGAAGACATCCAGACTTTAGTTAAAGGACTTTTGGGGACAGCTTGGAAATCAGGCAGGTTGTCAGATATTGTGGAACAGCAAATCCAAGCAGTTCTCACTACCACAGCCAATGATGGGGAATGCTAGGAATCACAGTCTCCTAGCATTCAATTGAATATTATGAGGAGCTTCTTGATAGTAAGAGTGGCTTCGCAATTGAGCCAATCTCCTAGGACCCTTCCACACAGCTATATAACCCAGAATATCAAGGCAAAAATCCCACAATATCTGCTTTGAATTGAGTTATCTGAGTCCACACTGCCATATCTTCCAGTTCAAAGCAGTTATTGTGGCATTTCCTGCCTTCATATTTTGGGTTATATTGCTGTGTGGAAGGACCCCTAGAGAAGGAGTGGTGTCTCCTTCTTTGGACATCTTCAAAGAATTATGGACAGCTACCTGCTGGTGATGCTTTCGCTGGAGAACCTAGACTAAGCAAGGAGTTGGTCTCAGGCCGCCTACATACAGCTGAATAAAATCCCACGTTATCTGCTTTGAACTGGAATATATGGCAATGAGGTCCCAGATAACCCAGTTCAAAGCAGATATTGTGGGGTTTTGCCTTGATATTCTGGGTTATATGGCTGTGTGGAAGGGCCCTTAGTGGCCTATGAAGTCACTTCCAATTCTGTGATTCTCCCTATCTTATTTCTCCACACCATACATCTTTGCTATGTCTCTTCTTCTAGACCAGTTCTCTTTTGCTATCTGCTATTTATCACTTCTGTACTATCACAGCATCCTTTCTTAACCCTACAAGGAAGGAAATATTTTGAAATATGACTTACTAGCAACAGCACGAAAGTGGCTGGGTTTGCAGTAGAGAATCTTGTGGTAGAAAATGAGTACTAGGCTAAGGTATTAATTCACTGTCAAAACATCTATAATGTTTGTTCCATTGCCTGAGATTTCAGAGAATAGTGACCAAGCTTCTGCAGACCCACAGGGGTCTGGAAATGGGGATTTTGGGGATGAGAGTGCTGTTAGTCATGATGAAGCTGAGGATTCTGGGATGGTCACGCCTGCATTAGATGTTCCAGTACAGTCAGAGAAATAGACTGACAGGCTTGTGTTAACTTTCCCAAGGGAGTCAAAGTCAGAACGTGAAAAGAATGTGTTAACTGGGGATCCAGGAAAGGGTGCTCCTTCGATAGAAAGGGTCAGATCTGTCAACAGAGACATCTGGCCAAGGGGAGACGTTGCTCCCAAAGATTAATAGACAAGAAGAATCCTCCCAAATCTTCCCAATGGAAATGGTGTGGCTTTTTGAGTATATATGAGGGTAAGTGAGGCTGATTTCTCAGAGGAATCAACGTTTGGTTTAGGACAGCAATTCCTTTCTCATGTTCATGTTTCATGTGTCTTGGATTTCATGTTTCAAGTTTATATTCCTGTAACTTCTTGTGCCTTGGTTGCTGTTCCTGGATTGTTTTGGAATCACAGACTTTTGTAACTTTTTGATCTTTGTCATAGTTTTATGCATTTTTGTTTCCCTGGATGAACTTTGTGTGCCAAGTCTTCAGTTACTGTTTGCCTGAACTTGGTGTTTGGATTCCTGTTTTCCAAGTTTAAGTGACTCTTACTAAGGACAGTATCCTATACTACTTTTGATCATTTTTTATCCTTTTGCTGAAGCTATTTTTATTATTCAATAAACTGCTTTGCTCATACTAAACTCTGGTGTGTGAGACTTGTTCAGAGGTGCCTTCCCAGCCCTGGTGTGCGGTATAGAATTCTATAGATAACCACATGCTGGTTTGTCAAAGAAAAGAAGTATGATAGGAAAGCCTGCTAGTTATGGCTAGGATCAATGCACCTTCTGTGATTCCACTTTTGTGCCAACCAGTTCTTCCTTGTTTTTCAATACTCAAACTAACTGGATGTGTGCCAGTTTTCTCTCATATCTGCATTTTTTTCATCCTGAATTTGCCATACCTTCCACTGCTCCCTTACACAGGACTCTTCCAGCAAGAAAATCATTTTGTTGTGGATAGTGTAAACCACAGTTTCTCAAATTGTGCTCCTCCAGATATTTTGGACTTCAGCTCTCACAATTCTTCTGTGTTTCTGGGAGTCAAAGTTCAGAACATCTGGAGGAGCACCGTTTGAGAAACACTGGTGTAAGCACTTGAACAGGCAGTGCTTTTTGCAGCAATACATACACTATGATGCATATTAAACAGGAACATCACTATGATATGGCTGCATTTTACATCCTTCAGAAAACCAGAGCCTGCATTTTTTCCTTCTAGATTGATACCTATGATGTGTCAGTGGCAGAAGAACTAGGGGACATCCAGTTGATAAAAATTGAGAAACGGAAGTACTGGTTTCCTGATGACTGGTATCTTAAGTATATCACTGTGAAAACGCCGAATGGTGACTACCTGGAGTTCCCATGTTATAGATGGATTACAGATGAAAAAGAAGTGGTGCTCCGGGATGGACAAGGTGAGCCCTTTGCATTCCTCATAGCATAAGGATCTAGGCCGAGAACCAGACTTTACACACTCAAGAGGTTAATGTAAGATATCCAGACACTGATTTCACTCTGCCTGTACAAACCTTGGTCTTATACAGGATTACTTTTCCATTTTTTAATCCACACCTCATACATAATATAGTTCGTTTTAACTAGTTTCTTGAACCAAGCCAAATCAAACCTAGGTTTATGACATCACTTCCTTTCAATAAATCATGGTTAATTGTAGTACAAACACATTTATTAAGTAAGGATTATAAAAAAACATTAAGGAAAAGTGTTGAGTCTGTTGGGCGAGTGGGCTTATTAACAAAATACACAGCAGAGTAACTTATCAGCAGCAGCGTGACTCAACACCAGTAGCCCGAAGTGATAAAAAGAACAAAAACACAGATCAATGTCATCTCTTCCAGAAGAGGCTTTTCTTTATAGCAAAATAATATGGTTGCACTATTTACAAGAACAAGACTTCCATGACACAAATAAAGTTCGAGCCTCACACATAAGGCCTTTTCATACTGAGGCCTACCTCACACTGAGGCCTATGAACACTGAAACCTATTCTCCCCCTGAGGCGTTCTCTCATACAGGCTTCTCTCAGACTGAGGTGTTACTAAGCAACAGGTACACCTGCTTGTATTGAACTACAGCTTTTGCTGAGTCATTGCATCCATTTAACCCTTTCAGTGCTTGATTCACATTTTTGTAATTAAAAATGCCTAGTTAAATTTCAATATTTCTGACAGAGTCTCTTCATAGTAGCTTGGGTAGAGGAATGGGGAAACATACGAACCTGGCACAGTGGCAGTGGAAATGAAGTTCATAGACATAAACCTTCATGTTATGTCTATATCCATACTGGCTAGTTAGAGGTTAACAAATAGTAGTATAGTTGCTTGAGTGTTGTACTGTCATAGGACAAAATGATGGAGATAAATTCAGAATTACTTGCATCAAGCACAAGTGCTGGTTCCAGCAGTGTTGACATCTACAGGGTTATGTATGGCCAAGATGCGTATTTGCTAAAAATATCCATTATAGTGTCTAACTCTGCTTCATTGCCAAATTCTGAGAATTCAGGAAATGTGAATGTGATGAGTTCTTATGAAAATGTGCACTGAATGAAATTCTACGCAATCCCGCCATACAGATGTGGAGGCATATTTAAACTGATTGAGTCATTCACCACATTTTAAGCCTCTAATTCATTAGTATGGAAAGAAAACTGAGTGACCTTCTCAAACAAGGATAAGGAATGTGTAGCCTTCCAAATGCTGGTGGAATTAATTGCCCACAATCTTGCAGAATAGGGATAATGGGAGTTACAGTTCAACATCATCTGAAGAACCACTGGTTGTCAACCTTTGTACTAAAATAGTACAAAGAGCAGCCTTGTTCACTGTATGGCCCATGGGCTGTATGTGGCCCAGTACGCCTATGAATGCAGCCCAACACAAAATTGTAAACTTACTTAAAACATTTGAGATTTTGGAGGTTTTTATGGTAACTCGATTGTGTGATCCTCAAGCGCGAACTTTGTAAACAATACAAAGTTTTACTGATGTGTTGCTGGGCTTGGCCTCATGTAAGCTGCCCCGAGTCCCCTTGGGGAGATGGTGACGGGGTATTAATAAAGTTTATTATTATTATTATTATTATTATTATTATTATTTTATTAAATGTAATGTAATGATGAGAGTGTGTTATGTCTACAAATATCAGAAGATCAGCATCATAACTGCAAACAGTTCAGCCAGAAGACCTATTCAATGATGTTAAAAATAACCTCCAAATGGGTGGTGCATCATTAAGTTGATTTTTGAGGACCTTTCTTTTTTTGCTCATCTGTTATAGTAGATATCAAAAAAATCATGCATAAATCTTTTCCTTCCTTTCTTTTTCTATTATTCTTAATATTAGCATATTTTATGTGTGGCCCAGGGAAGCAAAAGTTTGGACACCCCTGTCCTATAGCATATTTCATATCTTGATATGGATATTGCACTTGTATATTTTTGTCTTCCGTAGCTAAGCTTTTTGGAGATGACAAGACTCATATTCTTAAAAACCACAGACGCAAAGAACTGGAAGAACGCCAGAAATTGTATCGGTGAGTTTCCACAGCTTTTCGTTTTGTGGTAAAATGTTTCAGTAGTACCCTGAAAAAAATGATCAGAGTGATGCATCAAGAGTTAGAGCTCTGGGTTTTTTTTAAATTATCTGACAGCTGTGTATAAGAAAGTACAGGAATCATATACTGCCCTCAGTTCAGAGACAAAGAAAATCCTTCCTAAAGAGCACGAGTCTTGTGTGCATTCACTCATTACATTAGATTTGTACTAAGCTTGACAAGTAAGAGCTGGGCTTAAGAATAAAACAAAGTGTTAGCAAATTTCATCTCTGCATTCGATATATCTGCATTGCACCATTATAGTGGTTTAATTCTGCTTTAACTATCATAGCCCCCATCTATGGGATCTTTGACTTTGTAGTTTTGTGAAGAAATTAGAATGCTAGCCCTGTTTCTGGGTTTCTTTGACCCGCTGAGTTCACAAATAGCATCAGTTTTTCCTACCAGCTCTAGTTTTTGAGATACAGAACATATGCCATCTACCAGTATCCATCTGCTCAGTCATAGAAATTCAGGATAACCATATCTAAGAAACCAGAGTTGATATGATCTACCCAATGCAATTTTCTGGACTAGCACCCCAAATAGCTCCAGGAACAGGTTTGAAGGGGGTTCTTCTCCTTAACTTACCAACGCCAACATCAATTTTATTGTACTGTGTTGCAATTTTTACTACTTTCCAGTAATTGTCAGTTTTGAAAACAATAGGAAAAGCCAATCCTAATGGTTCACTCAACACTTCTTTTCATTTGTAATTAGGTGGGCAGAATGGCACCCGGGTTTTCCACTAAACATAGATGCCAAATCTCACAAGGAGTTGCCTCGCAACATTCAATTTGACAGTGAAAAAGGAGTGGACTTTATTTTGAATTACACCAAGGCGTGAGTATTGATATTCATGCAATCATGAAGTATTGATTCTTAGTGTTTGACATGTCTAACTGGCATGGTAAAATGGGGGGAAGCATTGTATTGCATTGAATGCAATATATTTCAGAATTATGCAACACAAAATAGCACATTTATATGGTTTTAATGTTGATACACTGTATTTTATATGCTGTGTGTCACCACTGTGTACTATTTGTAAGCCACCTCGAGTCCCTACAGGAAATGGTGGTGGGGTATAAATAAAAATATGGTGATGATGATGATAATGATTATGATTATTATTTGAAACACAACAAGATGAGTCCACAGCAAACAAGATCACTGCTGGTTGTTGTATTGGATCACATTTCGGACACTTCCCAAGTTTCTAGGACTGTGCAATGTATCGGCGATTATTATTATTATTATTATTATTATTATTATTATTATTATTATATGTAACACAAAAAAGCAATAATCAAAATTATAGGAGCAAACACCTACAATGCATTCCTATGTGTGTCTGTCCAGAAATAAACCCCACAGTATTAAATTGGATATAGTATCTGAAACGTCTAATTGATTTCAACTGTGTAAAGCAATCCTTCTTACAATGGATTGCCTTTCTCTGTCCTGTGGGGGAAAAAAACCCTACGCTTTTTTTCTGAGATGTTGGGGCATGGCAGTATATATTAACATGTAGTATGTTGATAGTCAGTTACCTTGGGTAGGGCTCCAGATCTTCAGGACATGAGAAATCTGTGGGGGAAACCCAAAGTTTCAGAGAGGTATAGAAAGGCTTCTGAGACAAATGGCACCTCTAACCTCTCAACCAAATGAGTCCTTGATTGAGTGGCTGTCATGTGACTAGATTAGCACAAAGGGATGCATCTACACTATAGAATTAATGCAGTTTGATCCCACTTTAATTACAATGGCTCAATGGAATCCTGGGAGTTGCAGTTTGGAGAGGCATCAGCACTCTTTGGCACAGAAGGCTAAAGATGTTATAAAACTACAACTTACATGAATCCATAGCATCAAGCCACAACAGAATATATGGCATTGAGGACCCACTGAGGATGGGTTGAAGATTAACCAAAAAGTCAGATTAATGTAGAAGAAGGACTTAAATCCAATCTTGTTTTGAAAAACACTAACATTGTTTTATTTGAGGTATTTAATTGCTATCCATGAACCTGGATTCCCTTTTGTTAAAGATGTGACAGAAAAATTCAAGTTGAAACCAAAATAGAGATGCAGGGAAATGAAAGGGCACCAAAATGCAGTGATTATTTATTAAGCCTTTCTTTTCTTTTCTTTTTAGAATGGAAAATCTCTGTGTTAATCGTTTCATGCATATGTTCCAATCTTCCTGGAGCGATTTTGCAGATTTTGAGAAGATCTTTGTCAGAATAAGCAATACAATTTCTGGTGAGTTGTTGCAATTTTCAGATGTGAGTATCAGTTATCCTTTCAAATCAATCAGTCCAAAATCTGATGCACACACATTTGCAGAAACAAGACTCTCAGGTACAAAAGTGAAAACTGTCCAGAATGTTTTCTTGTCAAACATCTATTCCAAAAACTTAATGGAAGTCTTGTTCAATCAGTCTGCAGCTGGATTTGATAGACCTACATTTTATTTTATTTTATTTATTATTTTTATTTATTTATCTATTATTTTATTATTTTATTTTCAGTATTTATATTCCAGCCTTCTCACCCCGAGGGGGACTCAGGTCAGATTACAACACATATACGGCAAACATTCAATGCTGTGGTACAGTGACAAGCCAAACAACTGTACATAGATAGAGGTATATAGCATCTTGGAGGCTGTGCTCTGTTCTGACCATGGGATGGGTGTGGGTGTTGTCACTCCATTTTTCCTGCAGAAAAGCTTTGTTCGTAAACATCTTCCTTAATGGAATCACCAGCATTTTTCTGGCATTTCCTTATGGGTGCCTCAAATACCTCCCCGCTTTAAAGCAGTACCTATTTATCTACTCATGTTGCTGTTTTCGATATGCTAGGTAGGCAGAAGCTGGGCTGAATGCCAGGAGCTCACCCCAACCTGGGCTTCGAACTGTCAACCTTTCAGTTGGCAAGATTTACTCCAGCTCTACTAGTTGATCTACCATACTTCGAAAGAAAACCAAACAGTGGGAGATTTAGGTATTTTCCTAATGAAGGAATTAGGAGTGTTTCCTCTCCCTTTCATCAAGACAGTGTCCATTCATTTCAATAAATACACTTTCCCAAAGTGGTCCTAAAAAGTTAGAAGAAGATTTACCTCTGTCATCTCTAGCCAAAATATATTTTCTAGACTTTCTGCTTCAAACAAATGCATTGGCCTTATCTGTATATGTGTGCGTACTCATTCTAATAGTCCTCTATCTGTAGCATTCAGACTATATGTGAGTGTCTGTAGGATCATCTTTTTTGGAGAGATTACATTTAATTACATTTACAGTGGTTTAACCACCAGCTACATAAATCTTGCTGGAGCGAAAGGGTGACAGTTCAAGCCGCGGGTGGGGTGAGCTCCCACAGTCAGCCTAGCTTCTGCCTGCCCTAGCAGTTTGAAAACAGCTCTGAGTAGATAAATAGGTACCGCTTTAGCGAGGAGGTAAAAAGGCGCCCCTGAAAAACATGCGGGTGGTTCGATCAACAGGTTCCTCAGGATCGAAGAATGGAACAACAGCACCTCCTCATGGCCGAGTCGAGCACAGCCTCCAGATGCCGGAAATGAAAGAGGACAGGCTGCCTCTGTTTATGTATTGTTTGTCTCTGTCAATTATATAACAGGATTGAATGTTTGCCATGTGTGTGTATATATATATATACACACACACACACACACACCCCAGTAATCCTCTCTGAGTTCCCCTGGGGGAATAGAGTGGAATATAAATAAAGTATATTATTATTATTATTATTATTATTATTATTATTATTATTATTATTATTTCAGCCATTAAGGTCCCCCCTCTTCAGAACTGATGGGACCCAGAGGATATGGATTCCTTCCTGACACTCTACTCTTATAATTTTAAGTGCACAACATGTGAAATTTTTATGAAGGGCAAAAAATTACAGGCAGACGTACTGTATTTCTTCAATTGTAAGATGCCATCGATTGTAAAACACACCCTAATTTCATTGCCACCAGCACCAACAAAAACACATTAAGATACGCCTGCTATTCTAAGATGCATCCTATTTTTTGAGATGTTTATATAGGAAAAAAAGTGTGTCTTAGAATTGAAGAAACAGAGTAATTTTCAGAGACATGATTTTCCCAGTCAGTTTTTCTGGGATAATATAAATTCATATGCGTAAATGTCCAGATGACCATCTGAAGAAATAAGCAAGAGGAACAGGTAAGTAGAATCTTCTCGTTTTGTTCTAAACATTGCTCCTTCTTCGCCTTTAACTTTTCCTGTGTTTTTAAAGGATATACTTTGACATAGAGTAACTAGTTTTTTTGTGTTAAAAACAACTTTACCATAATTGATATATCTCCCCTCCCCCTTTAGAGTATGTGATGCAGCATTGGCAAGAAGATTTCATGTTTGGATACCAGTTCCTAAATGGATGCAACCCTGTATTGATCAGAAAGTGTTCAGAATTACCAAAGAAATTCCCAGTGACTACGGAAATGGTAGAATGCAGTTTGGAGAGAAATCTTACTCTGGAAGAGGAAATGAAGGTACCACCATCAAATGGGCATCTATTTCAGTATTAGTGTCCTCTTCATAAAGGTTTTGGGCTTTACAGGAATTTTCTTTTTTAAAAAGATTAAAATCATTAGAAGAGGATTATTTTCACTTTCCTGGCAGACCACTTTGTGCTTTGAACTTTTATGTTGCTGTAGGATGAGTCAGTTTCCTTTGTGCAACCTCTACCTTTCATAACAAGATGTAGAATGCCTTATTGTGGGGTTGCAGCCTTCTCCATATTTGTTAGTAATCTGATGAACCCAATAGGTTTCACCTTTGATTGCAGGTCAGTACTGTGCATATTTCACAATGGTTTCTATGTGTCCCGTCCCCCCAAATGTAACAAAACTTAAACATTTAACCACTTTTTGGTCTACTATAGTTTCTGTATCAGAGTTATTGCAGTTGTCAGCCTCCTGTGTCATGAAGAATCTTCCAGTCCTACAGATTAAGGTTTATTTCCTTTAACATCATCTCATAATTTTAATAGATTTCTTGTCTCTGCCCTAAACGAAGCAGATTTCAAGGCAATTAGAACAGTAAAGAGCCACAAATGGTCCAAGACCCCCACCCCAACTATAACATGTCAAATATCTTTATTTATTACACAATGAATCTACTTACTATCATATATTTAATGGCTGAAATTGAGTTATTTGTACATGTCGATTATGCAGGGAGAAAATTTAAGATTACTGTGGGAGCATAACACAATAACATTTTCCAACACTGTCCTAACTTTACAGTAAATACGATTTATTTACACCCAAATATGGCAAGCCTAAATTCCATATCTGCCAGAAACAAATTAAGTTACATTTCAGAATCCTGAAAATCATTAAAGTAGTTCCACGTAATAAAACATATGGATTAAGAGTATTTGTACATAAGGGCCGGGCTTTAACACAGCAGGTTAACCGTCAGCTGCAGTAAATCTTGCTAACAAAAAGTTGACAGTTCAAAGGCTGGGTCAAGGTTGAGATCTGGGCCTTTAGCCCAGCTTCTGCCCACCTAGCAGTTTGAATAGATAAATAGGTACTGCTTAGACGGGGAAGTATTTAAGGCACTCATAAGGAAATGCCAGAAAAAATGCCAGCGATTTGATCAAGGAGGAAGTTTATGGAGAAAGCTCTTTGACAGGGAAAAATGTTCAGCACACACACATACACACACAGTGGCAGGAACCGAGCACAGCCTCCAAGATGTTGGAGATGGGAAAGCCTATATATACCTCTATCTATGTACAGTTGTCTGTCTTTTCAGTGTGTAACAGCATTGAATGTTTGCCATATATGTGTTCTGTGATCTAATCTAAGTCCCCTTCGGGGTGAGAAGGGCGGAATATAAATACTGTAAAGATATACAACCTAACACGATTGCTTAGCCTCAACGTTTTTATCATTGGAGTATATGTCACCCCCCCCCCTTGTGGGAAAGCTTGATTCCACAATCCCGTTTTAATGAGCCCTCATTCCGCAAATAACCTGCTTCTCCTTTATCTCACCCGAGCTTTTAATCAGTTTTTAATTAGTTTTTCTTTTAATCATTTTTTCGCACACGTAGCCCGCGCATTGTCACTGTGACTGTGTTTATTGTAATCTTATATCGTTAATGTATTCATATGTTTTATGTAATTATGATGTTGTTGTTTGTTGCTTGTGTTTTTGGTTATATTTTGCTGTAGTTTGTTGTTTCGGGTTGGCCTCATGTAAGCTGCCCCGAGTCCCCATTGGGGAGATGGTGGCGGGGTATAAATAAAGTTGTTTATTATTATTATTATTATTATTATTATTATTATTATTATTAAATAAAATACATATTTGTTTCCATAATTTGTGTTGCTTAATGTTTTGTGTAGAAGTCATGAGCCCCAGCCTATAATTCAAAATGGGGTTTTAATTTCAGATTTCATCACCAAATAATATAGCAAATAATAGTCCAGTGCATAAAGTGCTAAACTTGGTCTGAGGAAAATGAAACGCTGGTTCAGTTACAAAATTTACTAGCTGACCTTAGGTCTGTGGGCCTATAGTTACTTTAAGGGCTGATGCTAGAAAAATATTTGAAGAATCCCATTTATGTGAGAGTCCCATTTATGTAGCTCATATTCCTTAAAGGTTTACAGGACACAAATATCCAGCTATAGTTTTAAATTAGAGTGTCTCCATGCCTATAGCAGTAGTAAAATCTTGGAACATTGTAGTAGATACTTCAAAATTTGCTAAATTGTTTTTGCTAGAATGTATTTAGGACCCTTCAAAAATTGCTAGAATGTATTGTTGCCAGACTAAATCTGAAATTCAACATAGGGGATTTCCTAGAAGTATAAAAGGGAGGCTGACATAATTCATTAGGAAATAATAGTTACACTTTAAACAGGAAAGGGCCAAGTCTCTTCTGCTAAAATTGGGGAAAGAGGAGAGGACTTTCTGGGGGTGATAAAATGTGGGATGGACCTGAGACATTCCTGAAGTGGACAAAGGATTGGATGAAAAGCAAGATGCCTTATTGTCCCTTTAGATCAGGGGTCCTCAAACTTAGGACCGGGGGCTGGATACAGCCCTCCAAAGTCACTTACCCAGCCCTTGCTTAGGGTCAACCTAAGTCTGAAATGACTTGAAAGCACACAACAACAACAATCCTATCTCATCAGCCAAAAGCAGGCCCACACTTCCCATTGAAATACTAATAAGTTTATATTTGTTAAAATTGTTCTTCATTTTAATTATTGTATTGTTTTAAGTGTTTTTTGCACTACAAATAAGATATGTGCAGTGTGCATAGGAATTCATGTTTTTTCAAATTATAATCCGGCCCTCCAACAGTTTGAGGGACTGTGACCTGGCCCTCTGTTTAAAAAGTTTGAGGACCCCTGCTTTAGATGAAAACCCTGACAGCACTGTGTACTGCTAGTAACTGGTATTTACACTCACCATAAATCTTTTTCTACTTTTTCAATATTTATCACACAATTTTGACGGGAAATGAGTATTAAAAGACGGGACAAGCTATGTCAACAATATTATCTTCACTGACAGCAAAAGAAAACAAAAACTTGCATGTGTTCCCATGTCTTTTCTACAGCAGGGGAACATTTTCATAGTAGATTATGAACTTCTGGATGGTGTTGAAGTCAACAAGACAGATCCCTGCACAGTGCAGTATTTAGCTGCTCCCATCTGCTTACTATATAGGAATTTGGAGAAGAAGATTGTTCCTATTGCAATTCAGGTAAGATTGTATATTATAATATTTTAATTATCTATTAAAATAATAAAATATCTAGTAATACAATATAATCTTATTAAAATAATGCCTTGTCACTGCCGAAAGAATCGTTAACTATTTTTTATCCTTTTCAGATCAACCAAGAGCCAAATCCAGAGAATCCTATTTTCCTCCCATCTGATGCCAAGTATGACTGGTTATTGGCAAAGATCTGGGTTCGATCTTCTGATTTTCACATCCATCAGACAGTCACTCATCTCCTCAGGACTCACTTAGTTTCAGAAGTGTTTGCTGTGGCCGTGTTTCGACAGCTGCCTGCGGTCCATCCTCTTTTTAAGGTAGGTTATTTTTGTTGGAAAATTCCATCATTCTCTCACATCCTCCCTTGCTGCAAGAACAACAGTAGTTTTAGCTAGAATAGGACATTTGGTGACTTGAACTGTCCTACTTTCTCAGATTTTTTCTCTGCTCCTGCTCTCGTCATCAGCCATGCTTTGTTCCTTCATTGAAAAGGTAGTGCATTACAAATGAATCTTTTCATTGGTTAGTTAAGATGTAGACCCTATGCATATGTAAACTGAATCTATTACTATACTAAACATCGAAGTTAGCAACCTACAATGGATTGACTAACTTGTTGGTTTTTGGAGTCAGTAAGGGAACTCAGGAAACCAACAGAGGAACTGAGGCACACTTTGCTACCTTGCTAAGTGAAGGCTAGTTCCTAATAGTTTTCATACTTTCCCCAAAAATGTCTAACACCCTAGGAAACACTAATTCCTATCATTTTTGATGTTACAATTATGTACACATTAGATGTGATTGTTTTGCTTTTGTGAGATCTATATTTTGTAAGAACTTAAAAAAAATACTGGTTTCCTAGTAAAGTCATAGGTTCTCGGAAGAATGGAACTATGCACTTTATATGTTTTTAATTTGTATACTGTTGTATGTGTTTTATTGAGTAACTGTTAATCGTTTTAATTGTGGGGATACGTTGTATTGATTATTGTTTGTTTTTACCAGCATTGAATTCTTGCCAGAGCTGTAAGCCACCTTGAGTCCCCTTAGGTGAGAAAGGTGGAGTAAAAATGAAGTAAATAAACAAATAAATAAATAGTTAATAAGATTAATATTAAGTGTTGTAAACATTAGTATATTTAATCTGGATGAGTCTAAAAGTATTCTGACATTAAATCACATGAAAATACTACTTTGTTATGAAACCAAGGTACTTACTACAGAGCTTTCCAAACTTTTCATGTTATTGACACACTTTTTAGACATGCATCATTTTACAACACCGTCATTCAGTTTTACTAGCAAACCAGAGGTTAAACCAGCCTCTTATAAGAGATATGGGATCAGACATAAATAACGAACTGTATGGTGATGCAACACACCTCATGGGTGATTTATTATTTATTTCACATAAACTCAGAGGTTTCTCATTACATTTGTGCAACGCAGTTACATACTTTGTTGCAGCAGAGTTTGGAAAACTCTTCTTTACTATTTGCTGGGGCTTCTAAGTTGGGGCAGAGGTATAGTTACTGAGAGAAGTGGGGGAGAAGAGTGGGATGAGTGTGGGAATAAAAATATAACTGAGGAAAAATGGGGAGATGAGGCAGAGAAGGAAGTAAGGGGATATTGCGAGTCTAGAGGGTGTTGTTTTGGCCATGTGTGTTGTTGCTTAATCCAGATGGCAAAATAATGTAATGGCTATCTTGAAAGAAGTACTGTGGTTCCAAAATCCAGAATGAGTGCAATGACTGGTTCTGGATCTGCTGTTTACCTATCTAAATAGTATCAGAGGATCCTAGGGAAAGCCAGTTTATGTCCCATACCTTTACCACCTTCCCCACTGGTCACAGTAAGTGGATCAGATTCCCTTATGCATGCATAAAAAATATGTTCATATTGCTGGTTTCTTGCAAAAAAAAGTTCCAGTTGTATTGAGAAGATCATTGGGACTCTGAAATCTAAACTGTAGGAGTACAACATGTTTTTTAACTGCTAGTCTGGGGAGGAAGTTTAGGGATGCTGCCTCAACATGTGGTTTCCCTCTGTCTATGATCTACGGAGCACTGGTAGACTCAATAGGTCTGCAGAAAGATTTTGAAAGTGCTAAAACATCTTTATATGGCCGTGCTTAAGATGGCAAAGACTATACCCAACTTCACAGAACTTTTCTTTCAAAGCCAAGTCCATTCATTGCACCTTAAAGGGAATGTTTATTGAACTACAGTTATGAATGTCCTTTCATATTAGAAGAATAAAAAAGTGATCTGTTGACCCTTCTAGCCATTTTCAAGTTTGTGAGAAAATAAGTTTGAGAACCACTGTAGTAAAGTGCCTGCAACATGTTAATCTGCTCTCCACATATCAAGGAAAACACATTATACATGGATTGTTATTGAATGATCCAAACTGAATTTTTTTTTTAGTGTTAGTCACTTCAAGTCCTTTAAGAGAGAAGTGGGATATAACAACAACCAGTGTTCTATATTCCATTCTTGATCAGGTTCCCAGGCATGTTGTTTATATCCTAGCTCCAAGTATGAAGTGGATTGTTTAGACTTTATTTCAGTCTGCTTTTTAGCCCTAGTTGTGAGACATCCAACACATTGAATATTAATCCAATGACAGAGGTGTTATTGTCATCCAAGAGGCAGATCAGAGAACCATTGTTTCCTGGTTCAATCATTGTTGAATGGAATTACAGTCTTCTTGCTGGCTGAGGTTTGCAGTTTGCATATATTCCTGTACCCTGCCCTGAGCACAGTTACTCAGTTTTGGCTGTGTCAGTAATGTATTTGCATAGTTAAAGGTAGTACTGTATGTCAATTGCATCTATTCATGGAGAGAAGAGATCTGGTCACAGTAACACATTCATGATATTATATGTAAACCACTTTACATACGAGTTCCAGAATGGAGCAAACAAGCGTTGCTTGCTTGAGCCAGTTATGGAAATGTGTTGCTCTTCATTAGTAGTTATTCAGCACAGTTCAAAGTGCTGGCTTTGACCTGTGTGACTTATGATCAGGTTATTTTGAAGACCCAGGACTCTTTGCCGTTTTTGAAGACAGTCTCAAATGTTGATGTAATTGATCCATTCAATTCTGATTCATCAGAGCCTGATTCTTCTGAGGCATCTTTATCTTAATTATCCCATAATGTATCATCTTCTGAGCTATCAAAAATGTTTGTGATACAACATTTTTAAATGAGTGCCACACTATGTATTTTGGGATCAAGTTCCAAGCTTTTTATACTCATTCTGCCAATTTTGATGCTGGTACTCTCTTAATCTTTCCGTAAGGTGCTGGCAGAAGGTTGTCAGTCAACAGCCAGGATTCAGGTTCCTTTTATCAAGTAACCTTGACATACGACAACAGCTATGTAAATCGGAAGCCCATCCACCCAGGCTTTATGGACTCCCAAAAATCCATAAGGACTCCACCCCACTCAGACCCATCGTGAGTGCCATTGGATCCCCCACATACGACTTAGCAAAATTTCTTGCTGCACAGTTACAAAGCCATATTGGGCTCACTACACACTACATCAAGGACTCAGCCCACTTCATAGAAAAAATCAGCAATCTCAAGCTAAATACAAACGACAAACTGATCAGCTTCGATGTGGTATCTCTATTTACCATGGTCCCGGTAGCAGACACCATGGCACTCATCAACCAGAGGTTCCCAGAAGACATCACGGCTCTGTTTCACCATTGCCTTACCACCAGTTACTTTCAGTGGGACAATGAATTCTACGAACAGAAAGATGGAGTAGCTATGGGGAGCCCTCTCAGCCCGGTCATAGCTAACTTCTACATGGAACACTTTGAAGAACAAGCCCTGGAAACAGCAACCAAAAAGCCCACGATATGGTTCAGATATGTGGATGACACCTTCACCATTTGGAGCCATGGAGAAGAAGAACTCAACAGGTTCCTGGACCATCTTAACAGCATCCACCCAAACATCCAGTTCACCATGGAAAAAGAAAATGAAGGAAGACTGCCTTTTCTAGATGTCCTAGTCATCCGCAAACCAGATCAACAATTGGGTCACACCGTCTACAGAAAACCCACACACAGATAGATATCTACATAAAAACTCCAACCATCACCCAAGTCAAAAAAGAAGCACCATTAAAGCCTTGGCAGACCGCGCAAAAAGAATCTGCGAACCCCACCTCCTCCAAGATGAACTGAACCACCTCAACTGGGCTCTCCAGGCCAATGGACACTCCACCTCAGACATCAGAAGAGCTGCAAGACCAAGAACAAGCCACGAGAGTAAAGATGAAGATCCACCCAGAGGAAAAGTGTTCCTGCCATACATCAAGGGAACCACTGACCGCATAGGGAAGCTGATGAGGAAACACAACATACAAACAATCTACAAACCCACCAAGAAAATCCAACACATGCTACGTTCAGCAAAGGACAAGAGGGATCCTCTCACCTCTGCAGGAGTCTACCGTATACCATGCAGCTGTGGACAAGTCTACATAGGGACCACCAAACGCAGCGCAAACACGAATCAAGGAACATGAAAGGCACTGCAGACTACTTCAACCAGAGAAGTCAGCCATAGCAGAGCACCTGATGAACCAACCTGGACACAGCATATTATTTGAGAACACAGAAATGCTGGACCACACGAAAAACCACCATGTCAGACTACACAGAGAAGCCATTGAAATCCACAAGCATGTGGACAATTTCAACAGAAAGGAAGAGACCATGAAAATGAACAAAATCTGGCTACCAGTATTAAAAAACTCTAAAATTATAACAGCTAAACAACAGAGAGGAAAAAACCAGGCACAGATTAACACCTCCCAGCAACAGATTTTCCCAGACTCAGGCAGGCCTTCAAATGCTAATGAAGGTGATCAGCTAAACATTCACACCTAACTGCAGCAGGGAAGAGCTCCTTGCCCCACCCCAGCCATCCCACAGATATATAAACCCATTTTTCCTACTTCCAACAGACCTTCTCAACCTCTGAGGATGCTTGCCATAGATGCAGGCGAAACGTCAGGAGAAATGCCTCTAGAACATGGCTCCATAGCCCGAAAAAACCCACAAGAACCTAGTGATTCCAGCCATGAAAGCCTTCGACAATACAATCCTTGAATGGTTTGTTGACTGAAATATCAAGTGGCTCCAGTTCAGTAGTTATGCCACTAGGAATCACAATCAGGTTTTTGACCTGGTCAGAAGTAGGTTATGATGACATCTATCCCTTAACTAATCTTCCATAAGCTCTGTTGTAGTCCATTGAGTTATCTCTGTGTGTACAATGGCATCTTTGGGGGAAATATCATTCTTTTCTTAAAATCAAATACAGAGGCAACTTCAACCATCAGCAGTGATATATAGTATCACTGTGATATGCTGCTTTTCACAGACAGGGCTTATAGTGTTGACATTTGGCACTCGGTGTGAAGCAGCAGTACTTTGTGGTCTGATAGGGATCTTTCAGTGGCATTTGAAACCTTCATCCATGGTGCCCTTTTAGGTTATCTGGATGGTTTGGTACTGGGGACATTGTTGTGCAGTGGTTTCTTGATTGAACATTCCCAAAGGATGGTACTAGGAGAAGATTATTCAACCTCTTGGCCATAGGGCTCCATAGAGGTCAATACCATCCCCAGTGCTTTTCACTATCTACATATGGTTACTAGAGAAGATCGCCCAGAGCTATGAAGCTGGGTTTCATCAGCATTCTGATGATACACAGCTCTGTTTACCCTTTTCAAGCAATGCCAAGAAGGCTGTGGCTATGTCTGGATACAAGTGAATAGGCAGGTTTCATTCAGACAAGAGAGAAGTATCACTGGTCAGTAGAAAAAATCAACCCCAGCCAATTCTAGATGGGGTTATTCTGCCACCAAAAGATTAAGTTGGTAGATTTGGGGCGCTCTAGGACCCAGTGTTGTTCCCGGGAAAGTTTGGCTTGTACACCCCTTCTTAAGGAAGGCAGAACTGACTACAGTGATTCCCTCTTTAGTTTCCTCTTGCTTAGCCTACTATAATGCACTCTGAGTGGGACTGCCCTTGAAAGATGTTAGGAAGCTCTAGCAGACAGACTGGTATCAGGTGTCCATTTTCAAGACTATATAAGAGTGATCCTGCAAAACGTTATTATTATTATTATTATTATTAACTGTATTTATACCTCGCTCTTCTCAACCCCGAAGGGGACTCAGAGCGGCTTACAGATTATGGCAACATTCAATGCTGCATCATACAACAAATAATAAATATAACATATCAAATTATAAAAGAATTAAAACATATAAATGCAGTAAGAGCAACAACAAATAATAAATATAACAATTTATTTAATCTCATTTTAGCCTCTCCTTAGACTAAGAGCCGCCGCAAACTCTGTTCCTGCGGGAGCAAACCTTGCTAGCACGTCCCTGACGTCATGAGCCTGCGCCTCTCTCCCCTGCCCCTTTCTCCGCCCCTTTCTCTTTGCCAGCGTGGTTTTTCCTTTGCTAGGGCAGCATTGCCCGCATTTTCTCTCAGTTGAATTCTGCCAACTGAGAGAGTACGCTGGCAATGCTGCCCTAGCAAAGGAAAAACCACGCTGGCACGGAGAAAGGGGCGGAGAAAGGGGCGGGGCGAGAGGCGGAGTCTCATGACGTCAGGGACGTGCTGGCAAGGTTTTCTCCCGCAGGAACCTAGTTTGCGACGGGTCTAAGGCCCGGGGGCCAGATGCGGCCCTCCAAGGTCATTTACCCGGCCCTCGGGTCAACCTAAGTCTGAAACGACTTGAAAGCACACAACAACAACAACAAACCAATCTCATCAGCCAAAAGCAGGCCCACACTGCCCCTTGAAATACTAGTAAGTTTATATTTGTTAAAGTTGTTCTTCATTTTAATTACTGTATTGTTTTTAAGTGTTTTTGCACTACAAATAAGATATGTGCAGTGTGCATAGGAATTAATTCATTTCATTTTTTTTTCAAATTATAATCCGGCCCTCCAACAGTTTGAGAGACTGTGACCTGGCCCTCTGTTTACAAAGTTTGAGGACCCCTGTGCTAGAGCTTACATACTAAGCTAAGATACCTGACAAATTTTCACATCCCACATGAGCCTGATAGAAATTAGAGATCTTCAAAGGAATCCCAACACCTTGTGAAGTTAAGATTGATGGGTACACAGAATATTCAGCATCTGAAGTACTGTTTTAACTGTTTTAAAACTGAACCCTGGGATTGTTTTTTTTTTACTGCTTTTAGAAGTTTTTAAAGGGTATTTTATAGGATCCCGAGAGCTTCAAAAATTTTCTCTGCATTGGTGAATGAATACATAAATTTTGGAATACTACATGTATCGTGAATTGATTTTTTAAATATTAGGAACAGCTCTTTTCTCATAATGTGAGTTTGACATTTTGGCATTGTATGTCTTATTGAGTCACACTCAAAATGTGGAATGAAATGAAGAAATAAATTTTGATTTTGCCTTTGTATTCTATATAAGTAGTTTATTTAAATCCATAGACTCATTTGAAGTTCTATATTTTATTGTTTGAAAGTAGTTTGTTTTGGTAGCTAATCACATTATATTGGGGGGGGGGGGAACCCACAATGAAAATATTTTATTCTGAACTGCTTTCCCTTCTGGCTTACAGCTGCGGCTGCATGTAGTCCCCAACTGTGGGCGATTTTACAATACGGCTATGCAACACCATAAAAGCTCCGGGCGCAGCAGCTTATTTGTGGATATGATGGGCCTTATTTGATAAGTCCAAGTATGTATGGTACGAGTCCGAGGTTGGACACGTAGATATTAATGTAGTTTGAGTGGAAATCTAAGGGACAGGGTATGTAATGTGCGATTTACAATAGCTATCAACACCAAAGCCCGCGAGCAGCTTATTTGTGAATATGGCCTTTTTGATAAGGTGAGAAAGTTTTACTCTCTTCCTAGGTCTGAAAGCCCAACAAAGCGCTTCGAAGAACTGTGTTCTAACAAAAGCAATACTTTCTCCAATAAAAAAGCAACAAAACCAGTAAACAAGCAGGGCAAAACAATAATTAATCCGAGAAGTATAACTGAACAGAAGCTGTTGATTTATCAGTCAGTAAGATGATTTAAACATTCCTTAGAAAGCAGTTCTATAATATGCTGCTGTTAGAAATATACATTGTTCTTCTTGGAGGTTAATCAGACCTCTCTATGAAATGAAATTAAATCCCCAACTTTCTGAGATCTCTGAAGTAATATTGTAAAGGTAAATGTTTATCCTTGACATTAAGTTTAGTCAAGTCCAACTCTGGTGGTCGGTGCTCATCTCCATTTCTAAGCCAAAGAGCCAGCGTTGTCCGTAGACACCTCCAAGATCATGTGGTCAGCATGACTGTATGGAGCGCTGTTACCTTCCTGCCTAAGCGGTACCTATTGATCTACTCACATATGCATGTTTTCGAACTGCTAGGTTGGCAAAAGCTGGGGCTAACAGCAGGAGCTCACCTTGCTCCCCAGATTTGAACTGCCAACCTTTTGGTCAGCAAGTTCAGCAGTTCAGTATTAACCCACTGCGCTACCGGGTAATATTGAACTGTAGATTAATTTCCGTGGGGAGAAAAAATTGTATTCCAGTATCAAATAGTTTAGGAAGGAGCAAAATAATCAAATGTAGCTTCCCTAACTCTGAAAGAAAACTCAAGAAAGCTCCTAAAATGCTATCCAAAGTTACAAAGTGTATAGGATAATCAGTAAAGCCATACTCCCTTGAGTGAAGAACTATCAATGTGCTTAAGGCAGTCTCACGCATCCTTTGCTGTCTGAGTATCATGTTTAGGATTGCAGCCTCAGCTGTAAAGATAAGGCAAGAAGTGCCTTCAAAGAAATTCAGCACCATTCTCCACAACATTTCAATCCAAAAAGATTAATTTCTAGTTGAGGAGAATTGCTAGTTTTTATTTTTTGGATCTACTTAACCATGAAATTGTCTTTAATGCCCTGTGACACTTTTTTTTTTTTTTGGGTGCCAAAGGCAAATGCCACTGGAGGAGGCGGTCATGTTGAAATGGTTCAGCGAGCAATGAATTACCTCACCTACAGCTCCCTCTGCTTTCCCGAAGAAATCAAGGCACGACAAATGGAAAGTTATGAAGACATTCCATACTACTACTATCGAGATGATGGTATCAAAGTGTGGGATGCAATAAAGAGGTATGGAACCTCCCGAAATAAATTCTGTTAATTTATATAGAGACTCTGGAGAGCAATAACAAACTGAATTAATCTCTGGAGTGTGGTTTTGCTTGTGGAAGCTGAGCGCATCCTTCCCATACCAATCCCTTTTTGTATCACTTTGCTTTTTGACAAGCTATCCCAGGATGCATGATGCAAAACCATATAAAACTGCTGTTCCTCTTTTCTAATTCTTTCAGGGCAACTTCCCATTTTTGTTGCAATTGCGGCTATCACCATTATGCTGATGTTGCACCAGTGTTTCCTATA